GCAGTTATATTTCTATACCCTAAACTTGAGCAATGAACAGAGGAATAAATGTCAAGAGGAAATTAACATTGTTCCACCTTGTTTTGCTAGAATTATGGATCCTGCAAGAAGATGAACAGTTCATGGAAGGATGAGGTGAGTAGCTTGGATGCTTTCATGCCTGGGTGCCCTTGAAAAGCTAAGGACAGACAGAAACACAACTCAGGACACATCAATAAGAGAAGCCTGCTGGCACAGAGGAGGGCAGGTGAAACCACTTTTGTAGAAGACGCTCATTTGAAAATGCTCCTGAAAGATATGGTATCAGAACACTATCCTATGTAGAGTGGATAAGACTTTGAGGACCTTGAAAATGCTTATTGAGGAATACATAGCATTTATCTTGCTTTCCTTGAATAAGTAACACGCATATATACATATTCATCCTGTATCGATAGGTAGGAGAGGTAATGCCAGCCCACAGAGGTGACCAGCCCCTATTCCAGAAGTTCTGGGTTGTTGCATAAGTGAAGCAGTATGCTGGTCTGCTTTCAAACTTCTGTAAACTTCAGCTCAGCGGTAGAAAAGTTAGAAAATCCAAATATTTAGTTTCAGTGCCTGGGTAGTCCATTCACTGATTTTCACCAACTCTGTTACCATCACCTTGGTCTAACGTTATCACCATCTCCCCCAGAGACCATTGCAGCAATGCTTGTTGTGTGGTTGTCCACGGTTGAAATAGTAACTTTAGAACAACCAGCAGAAGTGAGGGAGGGTGACCCTTAAAAACTGTTGATTCTTGGGCCTCCCATTAGACCCACTGAACTAAAATATCTAGAGGGTGATCCAAGAAAGCTATACTTTTCTTGGCTTTCCAGGTGATTCGCATGAGCCCTAATATTTGCAAAACATGGTAGCCGTGCACTTTCCTTGTTTATTTTTAAAATTAACATGAAAAGGGATTATCTTTCTCTCCACTTATACAATCTGGTCAACAGACCCAGATGAGATGCTAATTTCAGGAGAACACTGGCACTTATGACCACCCAGATGCCTGCACCTAGAACATGGAAGCATTTATGGCACCAGGAGGAAAATAATATTCTCATAAATGCCAGCCTGTGATAAAATACCAATAATGAATCTTTATGCATTTTATGTAAAATTACCTTATCATTCAGAAAAATCAATCAGACTAAAACCAGAATTCTAAACTCTTGAAGGATTCAAGAGAAATCCTGTAATCTGACAGATGAGGGGAAAGACTAGGAGAGATTAGGAAGTTTTAACACAGGTATTGGTTGTCAGATCCAGGACCCAGGTGTTCGGAATAAAGCCTAGAGATTTATTCACTGTATTATCAGTCTCTTTTCCATCCTTCTTTTTCTTCTCCATCTTTCTTATGCCAGAAACACATTCTCACTTCAACTATCCTTTATCCCTGCCCTGATGACGAATGACGTTTTCCTTTCATTCCCAGTTTTTCCTTATTGTTTACAATTTACATTCCAAACCTTGGCTTTCTATGGAGGATTTTGTTAGTCTTTCAAAAGTCACAGGTTTGGAAAACAAACAAGCAAACAAAAAACTTGACTGCTTCTCTCAGCACTAGAAATAGTTATAGGTGGTTAAAGTACATTTTTGTTCACAAATATCATTTTAAACTATCTAATTTTTGGCAGAATTATTACTCTGCCAGTTTCTGTTCTGTGTCCTTGTAGCCCACACTGTACCTTCAATCAAATGGCTTGTATCTGACATTAAATCTCCTATAACACAATATCAAGTACTATATTGCAATCATTAGGAACACAAAAGAAATAACTATTGTCATATTGAAGAAAAATCCCCCAGAGAACAGGCACCTTTAGCATTGGAAATGGGAACTTACATCTTAGTCAAGTACTTTTTTTTCTGTCTCCAGAAGATGGAATTATCTGACACATTAAATATCTTATTTGGATAGCAAAGGACTATGAAAGTTACTTCCTGAAATAAAAATAGAGGAAGATACACCTCAAGTCAAATCACCGTTGTGATATTCATTCACCAGAATTCAACTGAAATGACCTTAGTATTTTATCGACTACATCTAAACCTATGGATCTTCAAAAACATCAATTCCATATTAGACACTAGTTTACACTACACAAAAATTAAATTAATTTTTTAAAAAATTGGCATAGCTTAAAATGGATGAATTTATTTCTCAAATTTAAATCTCCACTAACATTTTTCGTTAAATGTGAGCTTGACTGGAGTTGTCATTTTTTCAAAAATGTACTCATTTTAGTTCAAAACTTCTTAGTTGAGTTAACAACTTTTCTCATGGCTTTTAAAACTTAAAGCTCAAATGTTAAATGTAATAAATATCAAAAATATTTAATACCCCTTATACAACATCAAACTTTTTCTTGACAAATTTTCTATGGTTTTAATTTTTACTCAAAAATCTTTAACGGAAACAGATTATGTTTGAAATTATACTTCTCAATAATTTCACTGAAATACAGTTTATTCCCTAGGTAACAATTCCCTAAAGTTTTTCATTACATCATAATGTGTTTATAACTTCTTGTTAGAAAAGGTGTCAGACCGTGTTATGAAAAAATGTCTGGCACATAAAAGCAGTACAATAAAACAGTTAAAAATGTAAGCTAATGAGTCATACTAACTATGCTCCAATCTTATCTTTTCTATCTGCTACCCGAGAGACTCTGGACAGATTCTTAAACTCTCTGTATTATCAGTGTCCTTATTTTAATAATATTTGCTTATAAAAGGTTATTGGGATAATTAAATGAGCTAATACAGGTAAAGTGCTTAGAACAGTGCTAGGCAGAGTGGATTGTACAAATATCACCACTATTGTTATCGTATAGGTATAGCTATTATTATTATATAGGATAATAATTGCTATATTTGCTCTATATTACTATTTTAGTAGGGCCTCAGTAACAAATTATGGAATAAATACTTGCAGATAAACATTATTTGTACTGAAATATTTGAAGTTCAAAATTTTTTACATTGAAATAAACAGAGCAGTTTAATTAGGAGGTACTAATACAGATTCATAATTGCTTTTGGTTTTTATCTAAGTCCTCTTTCTAAAGATGGCTAAGGCGTACAGGGGCCTGGCTTAGGCAGAGGAGATCTCTTAGGGTAGGGGCTGAGTAAACTGTATCTCTTACCAGACTTTGGGTTCAGAGCAAGGAGTCAAGGATGGGAAGAGGAGAAAACCAACATCTGTAAGTCAGAGAATAAAGACACCGAGGGGAGGCCTGGAAGCCAAGCAACTGGAGAATCAGAAGGAAGGAGGAGAGGAGAGAACAACACACCCAGTAATAAGCTGAAATTGTTCCTGGGACTCACCCTGGGCAAATACTATTGCCCTCAGTGACCCTCATGAGATCTGATTCTTGCGTGCAGAAACTGTATTCAAAATTCAGGCGACTGGACTTGGCAGTTAATGCATTTCTTGTTTCTATTCCTGATGCTTAGCCGGCACCAAGCATAATCAGTACTTTTATTTTAGGCTTAGACACATACTCAGAATGATATACCCTACCTTTAAAAAAGAATAGCATACATTTACAACCTCATGACAAAAAACAAAAATAAAAAAATGAAAAGCAACTCTCGCAGCAGCACAAAGATAAGACAAACATTTCAATTTCCCTGTCATCAACATATGTATCAGAGTACAGCATTGTGATGCAATTATTAACAGAAAGTAGAACTAGAAGCTACAGCAGACACACTGCATCTAATAATGTTGAGGCCTCTAAAATATTACTTGGGAAGAAAATAAAGAAACAAAAATAACAGAGCAAATTCCAAATCAACAAGACTGAGTTGTATCTGAAAATAAAGTATGTCTAGGAAGTGATCCTTTTTGTATTTAATTTTTTCTAAAGGGAGCATAGGGAATTCTAGTTTGATCTTGCTGGCAACATGCTGCATATTTATCTTGTGCTAGAGAACACAATTTGCATAATGTGGGACCCAGTTCTGCATGCGGGGACACCCTTCAGGGAACTCAGATTGAAGGCTCAAGAATAAGAAGAGCCAGCACTTTTGAGCACACCATGAAGGGAATCCACAGCTCAAACTTCATTTCCATGTCATAGGATTTCCCAAATTGACTGAAGAAAATCGATTACATTTTCTGGGAGGCCCCCTGGAGAATGTTTCTGTTTAAGATACACACACACACACACACACACACACATACACACACACACGAAATGTGTGTGTATGCTTACCTATAGTTTTGTTGGTGGTGATATTTAACAATGACAGAGTTTTAAAGAATTTACATGAGGATGACACGTAAGAGCATATTTTAATGCATTTAAGACTTCATCAATTTTTGCTCAAGGAATAATAGAAAAAAGCACCTTTAACTGGAGTCTTTACTGCTTAAACCTGTGGCAGAAATGAATTCTAACTACATTATATGCATGAATACAGCATATCTGAGTGCAAATTAGTTGTAAATAGAAAATATTTCAGAAGAGGCCGTATGGTTAGAAAAGTGCTCAGCTTCCAATAAATATTACCACAAAACACAGAGGCTTGCAAGAGATACACATTTCAATATTATAAGTAGTTGTTTTTTCAATAAAATATCCACACACTTTGAATTCTGATTTTAAAAACACTCTCCTTTTACTTTTCTCTTTTTTTTTTTAGAATGCATATTGTTTCTTTTAAAACAATGTACAAGAAACTCTAACTAGAAATACAAAAGATTCGATTCATGTGTAAACTAGGTTGCTTTTTAAACTATGGCAAAATCACTGTTTAAGACATAGTACTACACTTCCTTTAGATAAACTCATATTACTAAACATTGATGATGATAAATAAGCAGCTTCTAAGCATTCTCGCAAAGATTGAACACTAAGGCAAAAACTGGCAGAAACAATAGATGCAGAACTTTCTTTCTGTTGTTGCTGCCATTGTTATTTTACGTGCATTGAACGAATGGCCAAGATCTTTGGCGTCTTACTTACTGATGGGTAGAGGTAACCTTCTCCATTCATGGCTATATACAACCCTGTTTTCACTCCCTGGATGGCAACAACACGCAGTCCCACTGGAATGAGGTTGAAGAGCGCTGTGAAGATAAACATGGTCTATCATGAGTGGGCAGGAAGAAGCAGGGCACAGTGTAATTTTTTCTTTCTGATTCATTTTATTTAAGAAACATCATCTTTACCGATACTTTCCAAGAAATTCCAATTAAATAATTTTTATTTCGCTTTATAAGTAAGAAGTTTCTGCTATGGGTAAAATGAGTACTTCAGCTTCAATCTTTAAATGTTAGCAGTCTTGCTGACAGCATTCTGAAGAACTGATGCGATAATAAACAGAATCAAGCCTGTAATCGTGCCTCTAGAAACATTGTCTCTGACACCATTAGATACTAAAAGAAATAAACTGTGAAGTCTCTCAAAGAGCAGAATTTTAAAAGTCCAAGTTGAGTGTTTATTCTAACCCTCTACACAGAAAGTGTGATTTGTCACCACAATGAGATCAGGCCAGAAGTTAAAAAGGTGATTCCAAAACTAAATGACTGTGGTAGAACCAACATGATATGCCAGCAAAGCCAGGAAAAGATGTGCACCTGCCAATGAGCTAAATTTAGAAAGAACTAATCAAAACTGAATGACATGCAAATGTCAGAGAGACTACTCATTTGTGTTTCCATGTTTTGTTTCTTCTCTGTTGATAAATCGTTAAAAGCATTTTATCTATTTTTGCAAGATAGCAATGTTAAAACATTAAAAAACTTAATATCCCTTTAATGCATTTCCATGGCAGTGTTACATGTTGAATGTTTAGTAGGTCTTCTAGCATCATTCTTAGAGATAACTGCTTGATGATTTTGGAGATTTTATTATAGATAAATTTGTAAGATAACTATTAATTATTTACAGTGAGGTTATCTGCTGCTACTCAAGTCCTTCTTAACTAAGTCTAATTCTAAGCAGGACAGAACAGGAAATGAAAATACTAAAATAGTGGCATAAATGGGTAAGTACAATATCCAAACTCAGGCTCTCTATTGCACAAAAGCAAATCATTTGAAAAATGTGGGCAATTTGGACTTCATTCCAAGGGTCTAAGTAGTACATAATTAAAAACAAACTTTACAAATTGTGTTCTATTTAATTCTCAGGGACATGTTTCCTCTTAATAGGTTGAAGAAAATTACACCCTTTCTTTTGATTATTACATGCTACAGTTCTCAAGATCCCAAGAGGTCTGTGCTACATAAATATAAAAGGAAAACCTCAGGCCAGAGCCATGAATATTATCCCTGGAAAAATACTCAGGGGCATCTATGGTTACTTGGATATTAGTTTCACTATGTAAACTAATATCAGATTTTCTGCTATAGGATTTTAGGGGATTATGTTATTCTTATGAAAGAATTCGTTTTTTCCTCATTTCCATTATTTAATATTAAATATAGATGTGAGTTGTTGAGTACTGGGAGCTACCTGTGCTAGTTGGCAACTCTCAGTATTCCTTCTTGGTGGGAGATGGCTATATTCACTCCTGTTTAGAATACCTGAACTGTACCATCTCCCTTACATCTTGAAAGAATGGGCACCATAGAATAATTCCTGATTTATGTACAAAATTTTGGAGGGAAACCATAACCATATGCCTGTCCACGTGAGCTACACTAACCTAATTAATTCAAACATAATTATTCTAACTTTCCTCTTCTAACTTTCACACACTCTGAATGATATTTGTAGGTGCCACATATTTGATATAGAAAACAAACAGATTATGAATTCACCAAAATGATGTGGTTATGGGAACCAAAAAATTATACAAGATAGTTTAAAATGATCATACTGAAAAAAATACTAGTGTTTTTCCCTTGGGTTTTGGTTGGGATCTGAATTATAAAACACAAGGTATTGGCTGGGTGCGGTGGCTCACGCCTGTAATCCCAGCACTTTGGAAGGCCAAGGCAGGTGGATCACCTGAAGTCAGGAGTTTGGGATCAGCCTGACCAACATGGTGAAACCCTGTCTCTATTAAAAATACAAAATTAGCTGGACGTGGTGGCACACGGCTGTAATCCCAGCTACTCGGGAGGCTGAGGCAGAAGAATCACTTGAACCTGGGAGGTGGAGGCTGTGGTGAGCTGAGATTGTGCCATTGCACTTTAGCCTGGGCAATGAGCAAAACTCTGTCTCAAAAATAAATAAATAAAAATAAAATACAAGGCATTATAATTTACAGAATGATAGTGGAAAGTGAATGCTTATAAACACTAAAATGTGGAGAACCATTCAGAGCTGACCATGATGGAACTGGTGCTAATTAAAACCACAGATACCCACATTAATTGAGACACAATTTTATTTCTCCACTCTCTTTGTTTCTTACATAATTATAAGGCAATGTCACAAAGCCTAGGGGAGTAAGAATAACGAAGAAGTTTTTGTGACTCTGTTCATTCGTGGAACACTCCAGTTCTTCATATAACAGTGATTTTCAACTCTGGCCGCACATTAAAACTAGCTGTGTTCATAACATAGGGTGGCCAGGCTCAACCCCATACCTACTACATCACAATCTCTGGAAATGGGTTTAGGACAGAAGGAATTTTTTTGAAAAGTTCCTCAAATGACCCTAACATACAACTAAGGTGAGAACTGACATCCTGTGGGGTGGTGTCCACTGAGTGATTGAAGTATTTTGCACATCAAGTTACCAGGTTGAGAATTTCTAAGGTGAGAGGGACTTCTGACGTTTTAACATTGCCATAGTTAATAGCGTATTGGTATCTGTAGAGTCCTGTTCTGCTTGTAGTAGCTATTGTCTGTCAATAGGAACAATGAAGTTTAACAGCACAGAAAAAATCCATGGCATCCCCAATAGGAAACCGGGGGAAAAGAAAAATCACCCACTTATAAGATACCATAGTTCATGGGGATGCTGATGTTTAGAAGAATTTTAAAGAAATAAACCTCTGAAATTGAGAGTGGTTACGAGGTTACCTAGGTGCTCACTTCCTTTTGTGAAAGATCTTTCCATTATTATGGTAGTCAATAATAAGCAGTCGACTTGCTATAGTACTTTCTCCACCAGAACCATTTACCCATCATCCATGATTTTTGTGCTACTTTTCCTTCCCAGAGAGCTATAGATCTTAGACTGGAAACCCTTGGAGAACAGAGGCACCAAGGTTCATCTACCAGTGGGCCTTTTTTTCCTCCTCTTAATTCATCTGAAATTTTTAACAAAGGCAGTTTAGCAGGATGGTTCTTTTTTTCATTCTAAATAATTTCATACTTAGTGTGGGAAATGAACTGAACTCAAATCATGAAGATATGAAAGTTCAAGCCTTCAATTTTGTTATTTAGTGACTTTTAGAGTGCTATCTGGGTGAGTTTTAGGGTTTTTTTTTTTTAATTATTTTTCCTAGTTATGGATAACTAACCTATGGTTTGTATTCAGGGAGTTATAAAAAATGGAAACATTTTTATGAAGGATTATAGCATTATTACATCACTTCCCTCCTCACAACAAAAGAGCTGTACTCTAAGTACGACCTGACAGCCTTTCGAAAGCACATCCCTATTTTTAAAGAATTTTTCAGTGCTTACATCTTTCATAAGTTTCATGAGACTACTGAAATGAACCAGAGAAAAGAAAATGTCTTTAAATTCATCCTAAGAAACACCGTTTTGCAATTTACATAGGTCAGAGTACATAAAAATAAAGTTAATTAGTAATTTCCATTACTTTTATAAATCTGCTAAGATTCTGCCAATTGTATTAAATTTTATAGTCATGTAATTTGTATAACATTTTGAGGAGGGAACATTTATTTTACCCACTGTTTTTCTTTATTTCTTTGCAAATGTTGAAATAGTAACAAAACTAAACTAACTGGCCTACAGTGCACTTGAAATGCAATATAATGTCTCAGAAAAGCTGTGAACCAGAACTTTGCATAGGAATTTGAGCCCCTTGAGTGTGAGCATGATTTTCTCCTGATTTGTTTTTACAAAGGAGATCCTGTTTCATCTTCCTTCTCAGGACTGTGTCTCACTAGCATTTAGAGTGTCAGAACAAATTTCAAGATTCGTTCTGAGTTTTTGCTCCTTCTACTGCAGATACAGAAGGAAAAAAATCCCCATACATTTACAGAACAGAAGGTGGAGTGTTTTTTAGTATCTCAGCTTTCCAGTTTAGTCTTTAAAATTATTCAGATAACCAGACTTGTATGTGTGCACATAATAAATCTGCACTTCCATATTTAGAAAGTGCTTATTCAATTCTGAAGCAGTATGACTTTTAAAAGGCAATGTCTAATAGACACTTCTCAAAATGATATTGATTCCTATCATTAGAGGTAACCAATTTGGTTGGCACTACAAAAATTACACAAAGAAAAAAAGCTATAGAAAAAACACATAAAACCTTTGAGTGAAATTATTTTCAAGTAGTCCAATAAAGCAATATGTTTATGAAGCTATGGTGTATGTCCTGTTTTGAAAACTTTTGTCATAAAATGGACGGCATCAGTCTTTAGTCTGATGAATCTTTCAGAGTGTCATAGCTCATCTAGCGAGCAGAGTTATGGGAATCCAGTTATCACGTTCTAATCCTCCCAGGCCAAACAAAATTTGAGAACACTGAAGACATCAGAAATTATGAATCCCTAAACTTTGTGACCTACACAACAGTAACACATAAGAGAAAGGAAATGGCTGTTGTCAGCAAATGGTTTTTGTCAGCAAAAGGAGTTAAAGGGGAAAAGAAACTGAGCAGAGATACATGTATTAGCCTGAACCACAAGAAACTGACATCTTTTGCTGGTCAAAGATTGTCAAGTACCAATTATCTTTGAAAGTCCAAACTAATAACAAAACCTGCACAAATAATGTTTGGCATAAAATGCCTCCCCTTTCTTTTGTAGTTGAATTGTTTTACCTTCTCTTTTCCTATATCAAAAAGGAAATAAAGTAAAAGTAAACCAATAAACATAAAAGGGAAAAATTTTAAGATAAAAAGGGTGATATGAGACACAAAGAGAGTAAAGAGGTTAGGAATTGATGAGGACAATGTAGATAAACACAAAAATTAAAAAGGAATTGAAGAAAAATTAAAAAGTGAAGCAATGCACAACATATAAAAAGTGAACACAATGGCTGGAAAAATAGTGATATTTTACATGGCAAAACCACACGTAAAAATAACCTATTCTGTATAACTAACTACTGTCAGAATCAGTGTTACTGGCAATTTGATCACTAGAATTTAAAAAAGGAAGTGCTGAATTTTAAATTGAGCTGATAAAAATATATAAAATAAAATAAAAATAAAAAAGGAAGTGCCTTCTGATTTGATTATGTGTATTATTCAAATCCTCACTTCTTTTCATGGAATGATGTTTATATGTGAAGAATAAGAGATACATTAATTAAAAAATTCATATCTACTTTTGATCCACCAGTAATGTTTCTTATGATTAAATATTTCTAATAAAAACAGTTTTGCTTTTCACTAACTCCCCCAAACAGTAAAAAGTATGCTTATTTTGGAACTAATATGCTAAATTAAAAATGAATCGAATGCCAATATAAACAGAAAATGGGAGAGCAAAACACAGACAGTTGAGCAAGGAGAGGCACCAGACGGAGAAACGTTATACATAAAGAAATAGGAAAAAGAACACAGACATCAATACAATGGAAGATGTGTAGCTTTTTAATTAAAAATTATCACAGATGCAATTCTATAAAGTAGTTAAACACTTTGCACAATGAATTTCAAAGTACACAACCTTCATGTTTTTTCTATACTTTTTTTTGTTAAATGCAAATAATTTTAAATTATATTTCTACTATGTAAAACGAAACAAAACAAAACAAAACAAAACTATTCCTTGTAGATTTTGAGTTTCCACAGGCATCATTAAGAACCTCAGAGCCTGATAAAATAATACATCCAATGAAAACATGTAATTAATTTTTACCTAAATACACTAGTGTACTTACTTAACTTTTATAATAATAAGATTAAAAGTAATAATACTTTTCTGGGTATGACAACTGTTTAACATAATCATCTTTAAACCACAGTTTTCTTTGGTTGCTCCATTAATATTTTCATCCACATAGTGTAAATAAAATTGTAAATGGCATTCTAGCGTGTAACATTTATAAAGATGAACCAACATGACCAAAAATTTGCAAATGAATCTTAAAAAGTCACTTAAGTAGCAGTGTATCTTCTACCAACTGTGTAACTGGTGGCCTGAGGTTGTCACTTACTAGAATTAGTGCTGTCATCCTTGGTTCCATCGAGAGCTCCATCGGGGTGCATTTGCAAGTAGTAGCCTTGCCTGCAATATAACCTGGTCACTATACCCTTGAGCTGGGGATCTGAAAGGCAAACATAGTTATCATAAGCCTCACAGTGTGTCACCAAGTTTCCTTTTACTTTTCTGTTTCTCTTTCTTTTTTCAGAAGAGGACATTTTATACAAGTAGCACATTTTATTTTGTCTCTCAGATTCTTCTGTGCTTTATCAAACCTGCAGTATTCTATTTATAGAAGGTAAAGGAGAATGCAGTAGTAAGCCACAGAAACAGGCATTTTATAAAACTAGTATATGCATATTTAAATTATTAATGAAAACTATTAAACTAATTAAGCTGTCAGTTGAATTATTAGTTTAAACGATAAACTAATTAATATAACCAATATTAGCACTCATGATGGCAGTTATAAGAGTTTTGCAAACTGGTGACTCTCAGAAATTTTATTAAAAGGTTTTTTAATGGAGTTCTCCTTTTACTTAAGTTGACAAGTATTCCCGAAATTAAAAACAAACAAAACAAAAAATACCTATATTTTAAAAACATTCATACTAACATTTGATACATATTCTTAGGAAAAGCCCCAATTCAGAGAACACCCCTGGATGTTCAAAGGGTCATTGTTATTTCCACGGAAGTATCTGTGCTACTTAGACATTATCCACAGGAAAATGGAAAACTCTACTTGTGAGCTAGGGGAAACACAACAAACCCATGCATATGAGGTCAGCTCTGAGGCAATCGAATAGAGAAATTAGACAAGTTAAACAGATAAACTCATTAACTTGTGTAACTAAAAAGGACAGTCAAATTATACAATATGAAATCTGATTCTTTGTCAACGGGCATTGAGATAGAGGGCAGTGGAAGTTTATTTAAACAAAAAGGGAAATCATGTGGTAATAGATCCTCGTTTGATGATTCATTGAAAAGACATCCACTCTAGTAATCCAGTGCTTCACAAAGAGTCAGTTGTACCTTTGAAAACAAATATTTGCATGTGGCTTTGCAAAAGCCATCCCCATCTCAGGGACAGATTGGATGTGGGACATCATAATCTTCACCATGGCAACTGGCATCTCTCCGCAACAGCTGAATAGGCCATGCTAATGCAACCCGGCTGTCAAAACAGTCGGACGTTACTGAGTAATGAAACCTAGCACCTTGTAATCGATAGAAAAATTGTGGTCTTGCAAATAGGTGAAGACAAAAAAAAATTTTTTGAGAGCTATCCTTAAACTCTTTATTAGTCCTGAAGAAATTACAAAGAATTTCAATATCTATTTCTATGCACATCATTTAAAACTGATCATCTGAGACATGACTCCATTGTACATAGACTTGCTTCATAGATGGTATAAGACTGGAAAAATCCTTTTGGAAAAGAATGCATGAACAGCAGAGCATCACAACATCAGTATGACTAGCCACATTAGAATATGAAAGCTTTTGAAAGAGTAGGATTTAAAAAATAAATTTCTATGTGATTATTGGATTGTGTTACATATATTCCTTATTCTGTAGCATATAACTTCCCAAATCACATAATTCTAAGATATGCACTAGCCGAAAAAAATACTAGTGTGCGACTGGGCTAAGTACTAAAGACTTCTTTCTTAGTTTTGCTGTATTTTATTTATGCTCTTCCCTGAAAATACGTAGCATGGAAAAGAAGAGAACAAAAGCAAAAAGAGTAAAAACTGTGAAAAAGAGAATTTTTTATTATTCTCTTGTCAAGAAAAAATACTGAGAATATTAGTGATTGACGATTTTTCTGTAAAACCTTTATGTTCTGACATCACTTATTCCTAAGCAATCTTCTATTTGAGCTACTATGTCTTCTGAAGTTGAATTAACTAGATCAGGTGAGGCAGTGAGAAGCCACCTACCCACCCACTCACACGTACCCTCATGCTTACACAAACAGACCCCTTTGGGATTATGCCTCATTTTGGATGAGGGAGCACAAATAAAATGTAAAATTATGTTTTTCTCCTTTAACTTCAAGAAAATACAACCAAATTGATTTTGATTCATCTGGTTGCATACGGTTCGATGTTTTTCCTTTTTAGAAATCATAACGCCATTGATTTTATTCTTCTCAGGTGCCAGGCATTGTTAGAAGCACATTCTATTTTTAACTCTTGGATCCTCACCATTACCTTACTTAATAGAAGCCCACTTAGAGGATGAAGAAATGGAGATACAGAGCAATTGATAGTAACAATATGACCAAAGGCACATAACCAGTAAGTCAATAGCTGGAATCTGATCACTCGGCTCTGGACCCTGCCCACTTAACTGCTACCTGATGCAGCCTCTACAAGTGGAATAATTGAACTAAAATGTCTTCAACACTAAAAATAAAATGCAAATCAATCTGTTTAAAAAACCAAAACCAACTTGTATTTTGAAGATTAACCACCACTGTGTCTAAACCCAAATCCTGCTAGCCAGAGCTGAATTTGTGATTACAAAGCAGCAACACAAAGGTTAGAAAGAATCAAAGATCTTGAAAAATCTCTTCTCAGATCCATCCCACTTTTCCATTGGCCACATTTCCAATACATCTCTGCCCCATTTAAACCTTACCAAAATTGCTAGTTCAGTACCATACGTTTAAAACCAATGAGTTGCTCAATTCCTTTTGAAGTATCTTCACAGTGTCTCTCACTCTTTTTCTATTTTTCTATTTTTACTGCCAGCCCCTCATTACCTCTCTTAGGTGGTCTTCCCACCTGCAGTTTTCCTGTTCAAGTCCCTCAGATCTGGAAATATGCAGTGACTCTTCACTGTCCACTGAGTTACGTAAGCACCTTACTGTAGTAAGGCCCTATCTTATGTGATGGCTCTGCTCACTATAGCCCTTACCCATCCCCTGCAAGTAGCCTCACCTGATTCACTGTGGGTTACCTACAAATATTCCATAATTTCCCATATCTATCCTGTTCCCTTAACCTTATCTATCTCAAATATGGCCACCTGCATTAGAATGCCCCTTTGCACATCTGTATAGGTATGCACCCACAGGCACATACCTTTGCATAACTGCCTCCTTTTCCTCCTCCCCACTCTGGTTCTATCAACACGTCCATTTCCTCAAGAGCACTTTCTTGAAACCTCAGATGAGGTCAAATTGTTCCTTTGGACAATTTTATGGTAATTTTATGGTATCATAGGTGAGTATGTAGCAATTTATGCGTTCTGGGTTAAGTAGATTTATAAGTTATATTATCTAGTTTAACTAAAGTTAGAATAGTTTAGGTGGGGAAATCCTATAGAGATAATAAGGATTAGACATGATACTAATAAAATAAGCAAAAATAAACACTAAACAAATAACAAAGATGAGACTTTTCTCTTACATGGATTTTGTGGTTAAAAGCAAGTACAGAAACTAATAACAAAACAAATGATGATCTATTGAAATCTAACATGAAATTAGCCAAAGGAGTTTGAAAATGTAAAGACAATCTGAAATATAGTTACCATGATAAAAAATGAAACCTTATCCTAAATGCATATAATAGCTTCAGATATAAAAGTGTGAAAATATTACATGTGTGATACATGTATCACATGTAATACAAACATGTATTAATATACATGCTCATTTTTAAATAAGCTTATAGAATAAGGTTTGCATGATATTTTTCTAGTAAATGTTAAATATAAGGCCTACAAGAACAAGTATTTTTGTTTTAAATACTGATGTATCCCAAACTCTTACAATACAGATTCCCAATGAATAATAGAAAAATAAATAAATATCTAAAGTCCTACACCTATATTTTAGCTAGCCATGCAAAAATGCAAAATGCTTCTTAACTCATAAAATTATTAGAGCTCTTTATTCTCTTCTAAAATATTTGTGTTCAGAATACCTACTCTGCTTAAGAAAATACAAAACTTAGAATCTCTTCTTTGCCTATCTTAATTCCCCTTTTCCTCCAGTTTTGTCTTTTATTTTCTATTTAGTGTGCCTGATAATTTTACTAAAAATGTTTTGAGGATACCCCTTGCACAAAACTCTGTGCTAACTACGATCTGTGATATTAATTAAAATAGAAATAATGAAAACTAATGTGCATACATATCAAGAAAAAAGATGTTTCATAATAGATTACCCTCAACACTCCGAACTGAAAGAAATGCAAATCAGTCCAACCGCCTTCATATTCAGGGGGAAAATACCCAACATTTTTAATTAAAACACTCATTCTCTTAGAAGTGGGTTCAATTAAATCAAACACTGTCATAAATGGTTTTCATGCAATGGGAAGACTGGCAAAAGAAGAATCAGGATAATTAATCAAATGGTGTATATATTTTAAACTATGATTTCAACGGAGAAATGTACACTATGACATATGTTTTTCCATAGCAAACACATGAATGTATATACATCATATGAACTATGTTTATACACACATAAATCTCAGTACTAATTGGTTATCAGTGTAGGTTCTTAAACGTAGGTTCTCTTCTATTAGCTATGGAAAATCACACATTTTTATAGGGTAAAAACAACCTTTGTAATATACATTTTTGCAGAAAAAAAAAATGTGGCAGATCTAATTAGATTTTGGCACTCCCAGGAGCCCAAAATAGTATTTGAATAATTTGCTTAAAGATATACATTATCATATAATCCAACCACAAAAATAAACCATGTCCAGGAACTTATCCAAAGGACGGAGAAAATAAAGGTGGGATAGGGACACTAAAGAAAATGATACATAAAATTAAAGGCATGGGAAAATTTGCTATCTCTGTTTATTCCTTAAGATTACACTCAATTTCCTTCATGGATTGACCCAATGCTACCTCCAGAACCCTTTCCCTTAGGAACCTGGTTCCAGTTACTTCAGAGTGATTTACCCAACTCAGGGTCCCATTCCAATGTACTATTATGTGTGTTAAATTTTAACACTGCTCCCACAGGCTAGAATATCTCTCCACCACTTCTCTGCCTATCAGAATCCTATGTCTGCAGGCACTAGAGATAGTATCTTGCATTAAAAACAAACAGGCCAGGCACAGTGGCTCACACCTATAATCCCA